TGCTCATCTGGTTTGTTAATAAAATTGTTAATGCCCTAGGGGATACAGAAGCTATTTTAGCAACATTCCCTAGTTTGGTTGAGATTATTCGTGGAGGAAAACATTCCCATTTTTGTCATGGCTGCAGAGTTTGGCTTTTCCTGTTTTCATCGTTCTCCCCCCACGGCCATGCCAGGCCCTGATGAGGGCTGGACAAGAGCATGCTCCAAGACTGGGGAGGCTGGAGTCAACCAGCTCTGGCGGGGGGGGGGGGGGGGGGGGGCGGTTCGTGCACCTATGGAAAGGATGGAGGCCCCTGTGTCACCTGGTTGTCTCAGAGTTGAAAGGCCACCTAGGAGAGGCCCTCTGATACCCTGTACACCATTCTCTCTCTCATTTTCAAAAGCAAGCACAAGGGAGGGGTAGGTGAGCTGGGAAGACAACCGGGGCTGCCCAAAGTGAGTCATGCTTTCATTCCAGAACTTCTCCCCTGCCAGATATGGCTGTGTGGAAGCCACACACTGTCACTCCCACATAATTGAAAAAGGGTGTCAGGGTCTCTCAGACACGAACCAGAAACACACTGCTCAGCTGTCATGTCCAATGTGACCAACGCAGTCATGTCTTAATCTGTCCCTGCTCACTGCCTGCTCCGACGGCATCACAGCCTGGCTTCAAGGCCCCGCGTTGCGACAGGATAGTGCAGATGAGATGCAAGGACCCAGAGCCCCCAGTGTTTTAGGCTCCTTTCCCACCAAGCACTGGGAACCAGGTGGCCTCTGCCAAATGCATTTGTCAGGCCAGGGCAACACTAGCCAGCGGGGTCAAGAGAGTAATAATTTGGGGACACATTTATGGGAGGACAGAGGGAGGAAATGAGACAAACCAATGGTGGCTTAGATTCTTTCGCAAGTCAGCTCTTCTGTCATGGGCCCTCATGCCGCTCCTGAGGCTGAAGGGGCAACCCTGGATGGCGCACGCCCAGTGAGAGCTGACTGAATGGGGGCTCAGCTGCCTCAAGGGCGGCCCAGCCACTGGCTCACTTAAACATGACCCACAGCCTCTGGGCCAGCTCCCTTTCTCCTGCAGGGGCTTTGCTTTGGGAACAGAAATTAAAGCTGAGAGGATCGGGAGCTGGAGGTAAAAGTGGGGAAAGAGGACGTCTCCTCAGTGGAGAGCCCAGGCCTCTACCCTGAGGCAGCATACCCCTGGCACTGCCCACCGTCTGGGCCCTAGGAGAGGTGAGGATCAGCCCAGCACGAGGGCCAGGAGCTGCCCCGCCTCCAGCCTCCCAGCCAGGTGGCTTCACAGGCACCCCTCCCTCCTTCCCCAGCTCCTGGGGCCTTTGATTCATTGGGCTTTGTGGGGGCAGCATCTAGGGGCCAACTCCTCAGGAACCCGACCCAGGGACAAAACAGCACGCCAATTTGCCAACTACAACTTTTGTGTACCTGTACGCTTGTTAAATTCGATTGGGGGCGGGGGGCACTAGCTCTGGCATGCTGTGGGGAGGGTCTCCATGAGGGTGCTGGAGCCTGCAGAGGCTGGCATGGGGTTCTGGGTACACTGACTCTGGGGAGCACTAGTCCCGAAGGGAAGACCTAACCCCCTGCACCTCACCTCCAGAACCTTCCACCTAAGCCGCACTGTCCAGGGATAATGGAGAAGCTGCTGGGCAAAGAATCCACTGCACTTTGGGACGGGGGGACCCAGCAACTTGTTAACTAAGAAGTATTTATAAAGCCTTCTTCATCAGGCCCCTAAGGGACGCCGAGGGATGCTAGGAGCCCAGTTTTCCAATTTCACTGTGATGGACCCAGACGACTCTGGTTAAAAAAGGAACTGACGCTAAATAGCAGGACTAATGATGCCATGGTAATTGGGGTCAGACTGAAGCAGCAAATCAATAGGAGTCTTCCTTCCCCTCAAATTCTTCAAACAAAGCATCTTTTTTTTTTTTTTAACCTTTGAAAGTTAATTAGCAAATGAAATACTGACAGTAAAGGCTCCCTCACCCAGGGACAGCAAGCAGGGTAGAACAAAACAATAGCTGATTGGCTCACAAGTCCAATGTCCAGAGCAAATACATGGTACGGCACCTGATAAAGGGGAGAGGGCACCCTGGACTCCCCCAAAATCACAGTCTAAATTAACACACTTGCCCTACCAGTCCAATATAGGGGCCCTCACCCGTCAAAGAATGGCTGGTTAATTAAAAAAAAAAAAAAATGACCACGATGAGGACCAGACCAGGCAGAGAAAACAGGAGAGAAAAATGCACAGTAAGCAAAGGGAAATAGTGCTTGGGGTGGGAAGGGAAAAGCAGAAGCGTGCTGCCAAGTCTTTCTGCCCTGGACACAGAAGGCTCCCCAAGAGGCCAGGCAACGGCCCCTCTTCAGAGCCAGGACCCACTGCCCAGGCACAGCACCCGTGTGGGGAAAAAAGTTCCCATGAGGAATAAAGATGGTTCACGTACTCAAGCTATTGGTCCACCTTCCTTTTGATTTTTTTTTTCTTCTTTGGAAGGAAAAGAGCTGAAGAAAAGCATTGATTTGTTTTTAAAATCAGGAGACTGCCACGAAACCAGCAACACATATTCACAATGAAAGGAGACAGGCAGGAGGGTGTGTCCTGCTGGAATCAGGCTGGCAAGTGGCTGGGAGTGGGACAGAGCACACAGCAGCCCTAGAGCCACGAGCGAGCAGTAAGTAGTGTGGCAGCGGGGTCCCCTCACCAAGGGACCTGACAGGCCAAACCTGAAGTCACCAACACATACATGTAGCCAGAGCAGCACAGAAGGAAGGAATGCTGCTATTCTCACCAGCAAAGGCTTCGTTTCATAAAAGGATGTGCTTTAGAGACTTGTTTCCATGGAGAAGTAGCCTCACTATATTTTAAGTGGTACTTAAAGCCAAACATGTGAATCCTCCTCAGAAACCCTTCCTGGGTAAATCGAGGTAGCTCAGCACACGTGTATGCAAGCACCCTTAGGCACTGGTGTGGCTTTAGGGAGCCAGCAAAGGAAAGCCTCAGAGGCAGCAGCCAGGTCCAATGTTCTTCCAGGAGGCCACCAGAGGGTGGAGGCAGAGGTCAGTGAAGTGCAAAGGGCCTGCTGCCACCATGCTGACAGCCCAGAAGGCAGGTGCTAGCAATAAGAAAACACCCACTTCCTGAAAACATTCAGCCATGGGACTACTTTTCCTATAAACAGGGAAGTAGGACATGGGAGAGTCCTGGGCTGCCGGCCTAGCTGACCATATTGCAAGAGGAGCTGGTCCTGCCTGCAGCAGCCCTGTGCTGACGACAGAAGTGCCAGCAGGACTGCACGGGACGAGAGAAATCGAGCACTGGCTGTAAGACACAGCCTCCTCCCACACTGGAGAGCACAGCAGAAACTTGGGTGGGCTTCCTCTCACAAGCTGGGGAGCCAGTAATGTTCAGGCATCAGCAACTCTTCCTGGAGCAGAGAACGGACATTGCGAACACATGTACAACTGTTCTCCAGCCCTGATGTGGGTGGACAAGGTGTGCCAGCTTTGGTTTGCCAAAAAAGCTGATCCCATAGCCCCGTCCCTAGAGACAATGATTCTAGAGGTCTGGAGCGGGTCCTGGGAACGTACGTTTCTAACTTGCAACCAGGTAATTCTGAGGCAGGTATTTTAAGGGCCATGCTTGGAGTCTGGGTCAAGTGGGCATGGGATGGGTAACGGGGCTCGAGGGGGAGTGGTGGTCAAGGGCAGCAGAGAAGGACATGCTGCAGACCAAAGGTCCATTTCTGTGCACTCAAGAGACAAAAGTACACTCGAGGGAAGGAGGTAGCCCCACTGCCACCCTATGGAACAATCAATTCTTCTGAGCTAGCCTGACCGTGCCTCCTAAGTGCATAACCACGACCATGCTTTTGGGAGGTCTCTGATTAGTCAGTGATATCTTACATTTAACTGCTTTTCCAGTTAGTGCAAAGCATTCCCCCTTTGAATAGATAAAAAGTCCAAGTGACTGGGTGCTAGTCTCAGTGCAGTGGTGGGTTTTGATCCTTGGCCCTTCTGCTCTGACTCCCAGCCAGTGGATTTAAATGTGTGCACTTTAGCCAAACCACCATCTGATGCAAGATGCCCTGTTCTCTGGGTATAAACAGAAAGTCTGGGACATCATGGCCAGATGATTACTATTGTTATCTGAGATACAGTTTCTGTGTGTAGCTCCGAAGGTCAATCACACCCAAAAGGAATTAATATATTATTGAAAGAAGAAAAATGCTTTGTCACCTCAAAATAATGCCCAGTGATGCTGCCTCCTGGGTGCAGGGTGTGAGATGCAGGGAGATGAGCCTAGGCCTGGGCTCACACTGTTGTATGGAGCACCAGACCCCCGGGCTGGCCATGCTTGTCCTGAAGCTGGCATTCAGGTTTGCTGACCAGTACTAGAAGCGGTGGAAAGGGTGTGCCATATAGCATGTACCTCATTTTATTCTGAGGGGAAAATATACATTACTTCACCATCAGCAGCCACCTGTGTAATCTCCCATGAGCAGTGTTCCCTTTGGGGGGCCAATGTAGCTCACACAGGATCACCGCTTCCTTCAGAGCCTTTTCTCCGATGGCCAGCCTGCTCCGGCTCTGGGAAGGCACACGGCAAAAAGGGCAAGAGGCACGACACTCCCTAGTTGACTCTGGGGAATGTGACCCGAGAGACTTTGTGTTTTCATTTTCCAGATTTTTCAGTGAGGAACATCGTTCCCTCTCTAAAAACCCAGACCACAGGGTTTGCTTTGGGACAGCCACCACTCCAGGGCCACCTCTGGTTTAGCTGGGTGCACAACAGCAGGCCTCCTTCCTGCCTTTACAGAGTAAGTGACACGTTCCTGTGAAGTGTAAAATGGCTACATCTCTCTTTCTGGGCCAGATTACTGTTAACTATCACATCCAAGATATAGTTTGTTGGCTTACGCAGCTCCTTAGGTCCCTCACACCCAACGGGGATATGTTAACCAAAAAATAAAATTGTTGATTAGAACAAAATGGTGACACAAATAATGTGTCTATTTTAAAAGAGCTTTTGGTCTTCCCTTAAAAGTGGAACTCCTTCTTCCTGTTTGAGACTTCAAATGGATGATGTTTGGGGCAGCGGTTCTCTCTGACGTCTCGCCTGCCAGGGTCGGTCCTCTTCTACCACAGACCCCTCAGCAGGGCTCTTGTGCACAGTTAAAGTGTTCCACCCACAACACCGCCCCACAGCTGGTCCAGGTGCCACAGGTGTCAATGCATCTGAGGTCATGAGGTTTTGTCAGCCAGTCTGGACACACGTAACTGAGTCCTAACAAAGTGGATCAGCTTGGTCTCTGTGAGGAATGCTGTCCCAAAAGTCATTCCCAAACAGAAGGCCCCCACAGCCACGTGTGCCAGCCTGGCCAGCCAGCCCTGCTCACAGCAGAGGAACACCTGCAGAAAGAAACCACTGTCACTGCCATGGCCCCTCCATCTTAACATCCTACCTCAGGGTTAAGCCAGGGAGAACGGAGGCCTTGCTGTTCCAGCTTCAAGTCAGATAAAAGGTATGACAACTGTGTACCGAGGGGCTACTGTGTTCCCACTAGTGACATTGTTTTGCCACATCTATCATACCATGCTGTCCTTGAGGCTTGGGGAAGGGGTAAGAGGAGGCAAATATTTGCCTAGTTTGGTCAGGAAGAGCAAGAAGGGGAAGCCTAGAGCCAGGAACAGTGAGCAGCCTACAAAAGCATGTAGTGTGAAGGCTGCAGGGAGTCTCACCTCGGAAACACCAGTAATCCCGCCACTGAGGACAAATGCCCCAAGGAGGGCGGGTGATAGGTACAGGCCTGCCAGTGGTCTGTGAGGGCTCTTTCTGTAGTAGCGGTGGATGAAGCAAAGGCTCTGTGTGATCCGAATGCCCATGTTAAAGCAGTTGGCCAAGATGAAGCCCACACTGCCACACCACTGGGTCAGGAGATAGGATAACACCAGGAATGAAGATGATAGGGCCAGCATTGTGAAATTGTACCTGGGGAGAGGGAAACAAAGCAGAGGAGTAGGTACCTTGTCCCAAACAAGACTGTTCCAAAACAAGTGGCCGTAACATGAAATCACAGAAAGTACTTCTGAGTTGCCATAACCCGGCTGGTTTTCATAGCTGTGGACACTATATGGATAACTATATGGATATCCATAACTATCCCCCTCATCCCTGAATAGAAGAGTAAGGGAATTAACAACTCAAGATATTATGGTTTTTAAGGATAATTGGTTAGTTTAAGTGACACTTTGTGATCAAAACACATAAAAATCCTGTTCAGCCCAAGTCTTCAATGTGAGGCACAAGAATTATGACATAGGTAATAATTATATATGAATACAAACTCTGTGACAGCCACTGACAGGGGAACAGGGATACAGTGATGAGTAAAAACACAGAACCCTTACTCTATGAGGTTTGTATGTGTTTTACAGACAAGGAAACCAGGCACAGGGAGGCTGAGTAATTTGCCTAAGGAGTGACCTGACTCTGGCACCTAAACTTAGGGAAATGCACATCACTTTTCTTGGGAAATGCAGAAGCCCTGGGAACTTGGCTAGTAGATCTCACTTAAAGCAAGTGACTTGCTTTCAAAATGACATGCACACGGGGGAGTAGGCCTGAATCACTTCAGTGTTCCCAACTCTTAGACATCCGTCCCTCTGCTCTTCACATCTCCAGAGCTCTCTGGCCTCCTCACTGGATGGATTATGCTGAACTTCCACTTAGCCTAGTTACCTTCCATTCAGAGCAAGGGAAACTGAGTCTCAGCAAAGACAAAACAGCTGCTGTGGTCTTCAAAGAGGCTTGTGGTACGGCCACAAACAAAATTGTCCAGCACTGGTTTCTGCCTAGCGAGCAGCCAGCATTCTAAGTACATAGTTGTTGAGAGAATCAAACCATGAGGTCCCTCAGCTCTGTCTGCTGAGTTAGGGAACTCAGAGGCCACTCCGGTTCTGTACACGAAGGGTGGTAAAAAAGCTGCTATGTCTGTTGAATGCCCATGTACTGGTCCTCAGGTGGACCAAGCCCCAGGTGCTATGGAGATATACCTGATCGGAGAGGTAACAGGAATACCATACACACCCACACACCACACACACACACACAATCCTCCAACAAGGGAGGTGTGTTTTTCACCAACTACTGATCAATAATCAGAATGGCCAACTTCATAACAAGCCATTGAGGGTGGGGACCATCATAGGCCAGTTAGTTATCTGATCTCTTTTCCAAAAAGAAGTAGAGATGTATGATCTTTTTTGTCCCCCCAGAAACAATCTCAGATCCTTGGAGTTGAGACTACAGGTTCACAAACTTTCAAAGTCATCCTCATCCAACTCTAAGTAAAATGTCAATAATGAAAGAAATCAGTACCTAATTCATGCTAATTCAAGCAAGGATGAATTCAACAGTGTGGCTTCTTTGGTGTGGCCATTTGGGAAGAGCTGATAATGATAGGGGTCCACTGTTTATCACTAGAATAGGGCGCTGCCGCTGTTGAACTTTCCAGAACTCACAAACCTATAGCCTTAAAGGTATAAGCCACATCAGGAAAAAAAAATTTAAAGATGCAATTAAAATACCACTTTTTAAACTGAATAAACCTGTTGCAAGAAGGTTCTCTTACAAATGAGAATAAATCCTGCTTAAACTAGGCAAAATTGCGTTGTTCTCCATGGTACCACTGAAGTTCACATAAAAGGTGGGGGCTCCTGGTACTAACCATGACTCCATGAAGTCTATAGAATACTGAATTTCATACAAAGTAGTCAGTGATGGTATTTATACTGGTGTACATTAAAACTGATGGAAATTGAACATTAGGTAAATGAAAAGGATTTACCTTAAGATTTGTAAGCTAATAACCAATGTCAGGATTAAAAACCTGGTGGTCATCAGATAATCCCTTAAGTGCACGGATAAAAAAATTAAAGTTGGCTTTGATCAGAATTTTAAATGCTTTATCTGTGGTATTTGTAAACATTAAGAACCCACTAGCCACCTTAGGGGAAGAAATATGGTTAGCTTTATTTAAAAGTACACCATTGCTCATGCCAAGTCTTAAGTCACCTTGGGTAAACCCACCTTGTGCATTCCCACAGGTTACTGAGAAAAATCATGGAGTTTGGGTCAATACCAGTTTATATCTAACCTTATGTGTTGTCTATTGTCGCTTTTCTCATCGTTGCTCAAACTCCTCAAAATCCTTACTATTCCATAAACTTGCCAGCCCATCAATTGTGTCCACCTTGATGTCAAGGCCACCACACTGCCTTTCTATTCTGTCTTCCAGTAGATGAAGTTTCTGCTTCTCAAGGTGAATTTGAGTGTGAGAAACACAAAAGAGGAACTGCCCCAATTCTAAGTTTGCTGACTTAACCCACAAAATGATTTCAAAATTGAATAGCTGGTTTCCTTGAACCAGTTTCTGTATTTTTTTCAGAGGTCTTAAGCTCAGTTAAATGATTTCCAAAAAACATAGTAGGCTCAAAATCTCTTGGGACCTAAATTCCCTTCCACTCAGATCTTAAACAATATATATTTTTTGTGTAGAGTTTGTTCACCTAAAAAGATGTCTATTAAACTAAAAAAAAAAAAAAAAAAAAAAAGCAGCAGCAGCAGCCACTTTTAAAACCAGTGCAAAATTAATGAAAATAATGACTATTTTATAAGGTTTGGTTAACATAACAATTATTTATGAATGCTTAGTTTTTCCATTGCCCCAAGAAGATACTGGGCTTAAAATCAGGCTTATCAGAAGATGGACAGTCAAAGATGTTGACTATGGCAGCAACTGAAGTGCCCCTGCGTGGGTGCTGGCTGAAAACATCAAGACACAGCCATCATTGCAGCCTCGGCAGCCATGATAGGGATGGTGCCAGTGTCTCATGTATCAATATGAGAAGATCGCACTTATCCTTCACTCAGCAGTTATGGAGTCCAGCTCCATGGTGAACATTCAAGGGCCAAGAAATCAGTCTTGGGCTTTTGCATCACCGTCCCCTGTGCCTAGGAGACTCTGCTTGGTCATCCAGCCAAAATGCCACCTTCTCAGAAGGGCCTCCCAATCTAAAAGAGCCCCACTCTCACTGTATAACCCTGTTTTAGTTATCTGTACTGTGCAAGATTTATTTATTTACTTGTTTGCTCCCCCATCATCAGCTCCAGGAGAGCAGGGATCTTGTCTGTTTTTTTCACTGCTGTACTCCTGGAACTTAAAATGTCCGTTAGAGAACAGAGGCTCAAAAAACATTTGTCAGATGAACAGAAGAAACTGAGAAAAAATTAACAAAACAGAACAAAAATTCTTCAATAGGGCAGACTGAGGGGCGCCTACGTAGCTCAGTGGTTGAGCATCTGCCTTTGGCTCAGGTCATGATCCCAGGGTCCTGGGATCGAGTCCCACACTGGGCTACCCACAGGGAGCCTGCTTCTCCTTCTGCCTATGTCCCTTGCCTCTCTTTCTGTGTCTCTCATGAATAAATAAATATTTTTTTAAAAATAGGGCAGATTGAAAAATCCATCAATTATCTTCAATATTTGAAATTATTAACATAAAAGCAACTTGGAATTCAAAGGATGTTCTAATATTTCACATCCAACCAAATGCCCTTTTCTGATTTGGAAAAAAAAGTTCGGATAATCACTTCTGGGCCTTTTGGCTAAGATCAAGTGAAAAACATTGATTAAGTAAAAGCCCATGATTTTATCAATATGGTGTTTTTTTTCCAATTCAGAATCTGAAACATCCAATGTAAATCAATCATAACATTTAACTAAGCTACCTAATCCCATCCATAAAAATCCTTGCTAGAGTTTTACATCTGGTTAAATTTAGAATTGAAAAAATGCTGGGGTCTGTGATGAACACAGATGCCATGTGCTCAGACCAGGGCTGGGGGGTGGGCTGCAGTGTTTAATACATCTAGGAAAATCATGCCTGAAGTCACACTTACCTCTTAGGGGAAGTGCGTTACCACAGATGAGAACTGCATTAGAAGGTGCTCTGGTTCTGTTTAGGCTTCTGACTTTTTAGCATACCAGTGCTAGGAATTCTGTTAAAAAGTTTAGAATTCAGGGCACCTGGGTGGCTCAGTGGTTGAGTGTCTGTCTTTGGCTCAGGTCATGATCCCAGGGTCCCAGGATCAAGTCCCTCATTGGGCTCCCCAAGGGGAGCCTGCTTCTCCCTCTCTGTCTCTGCCTCTCTCTCTCTCTGTGTCTCTCTCATGAATAAGTAAATAAAATCACTTAAAAAAAAAAAAAGGTGCTCTGGTTCTGTCTTTTCTCTATGTTGACGACTCATATCATGAAAATAATTTTCCAGACATTTACATATCATCAAAATCCCATTACAGCTAACTTAAACTAACTTAAAAAGTGGTTTCTTGGGATCCCTGGGTGGCGCAGCGGTTTGGCGCCTGTCTTTGGCCCAGGGCACGATCCTGGAGACCTGGGATCGAATCCCACATCGGGCTCCTGGTGCATGGAGCCTGCTTCTCCCTCTGCCTGTGTCTCTGCCTCTCTCTCTCTCTCTCTCTCTCTGTGACTATCATAAGTAAATTAAAAAAAAAAGTGGTTTCTTTTAATTCAATGCCACGCAAGAGGAAAGAAAGCAACTAGCCACTTGTCCATATTATATTCCCTCATGCTTTGATTGTAAGAGACATTTTAACATTTTAAGCAGGCTTCGAGCTGACTCTCCCCTTCCATACTAATGCTGAAATCATTTCAACAAAATTTCCCTTCAAACAGATAGAGATAACTAGTCCAGAGCTCTTTCCATCATGGCTTACTGCCTCAGTATGTTTTACGTTACATCTAAAAATTATTTCATGTTTGAGGTGCCTTTCAAACAAAAACACATTATCTCAAAATCAAACTTAAATTGACCTTTTCATCCATGAAAAAAATAAAGGGTGAGGAGGATGGCCGCAAAGTAGTTTTACAGCTACACATTTAACTCTCTGAAATGAAAACCCTATCTAGACCAATATTTGAAAACTACGGGTTGTGAGCTAAAAGTAGGTGGGGAAATCAGCTGAGTAGGTCATGACATGGCAGTCTGAAAAATGAAATATAACAGGATTAAAAGCTATCAGGTGTCTTGCACATCATTGGGGTATTTACTACCTCGTGAAGGCCTCACTCACCCACACCCACCTGAATATGTAGAGGGTCATAGGGCTCCACGCAGTTTTACTGATAAGCTGGTCTGGGCTAGTGGTTCCTGAGGCTCTATTATCAGAAATCTCTTGGGGCTGTGTGATGACAGATTCCTTGGACCAAGCCCCTCAAATGCTAGCTCTGTTGGTCTAAGCACTCAAGGCCTTACACAGGCAGCATAAAAGCCCCCAAAGGACCCATGCATCAGGAGGCAGAGGGATAACCAAGACCGCTTGCCCCATTACCCACAGCCATCCTCTACTGTCTTTTCCTTCTCTTCCTCTCCTTTTTCCCTATCAATGTCATCCTTCTCAACCTCATCCCGTAGTGGTGCCTTAAGATATTGCCATGCTACTTCTGGCACTTGGGATACGTCCCGGGTGTGGGTCAGAAGCTCTAAACTAGTTCATGTCAGAGCTTTTAAAAAACACACAAATGCTCAGGGGCCTACCAGTTCTGCAGGTGTGCTAGGAGAGAGTGGTGGAAGAAGGGCAGGCAGGAATCTGCACATCTAAGGAGCTTTACGGGAGATTTTGATTGATCATCAGTGCTAAGAACCACTGTTTGTGGTGCCAGGGTAGAGGTCCTGATCTGGGGTCCATGGATGGGAAAAAATAGTGGCAAAATGTGTATGTGCATATGGGCCTTTCTCTGAAGAGAGGTGACACAGATTCCTGAACTTCCTCACAGCCTACAAATCACAGTTTCAGGGACAGGACTCTGTATCTCGAAGAAGCTCCATGGTAACCCACTGGGGCACTGGGCAAGGAGGTGGGGGCGCAGAGCTGTGCCATCTCTGCACACCTTCAGGTCCAGATTTCTTCCTTCTCCAAAAGGAGGCACAGGATAGTTGCTGTCCCCAGCCCGGTGTGTGGAAGACTAACTGTGTGGCACCTGTGCAACTGCTGAATGTCCAGGGATGGTGCTACTCTAGTGGGATAGGCGTTACCTCTAAAAGGGTTTTCTGTGAATGCATGTTCAGAATGAAAAGAAAGAAGATTGGCAAGTTATTCAGTTTGGCCATGATTAAAGGAGGGTCTTTACTTACCTGTCAACCTCCTCTTTGCTCATGGCAGCAAATGTGAAACACTCCGTCACTCCATTGATGGCAAGCAGGAGGACATAGAGACAGTAGGAACGCAGTAAAACAGGACCTATAAGGAAACAACCCGTCAAGACTCTAGAACACAAACAGGAGGCCCACATGCACCAGAACTGGGTCAGGAGCCCTGCTGGTATTGTACATGGGCAGATACATGCTCAAGCCTAAAGTCTTAATCATCTGGAATGATGTCCACCATTCAATAGCCCTGATTAAAATAAAACGCTAGGGATCCCTGGGTGGCGCAGCGGTTTGGCGCCTGCCTTTGGCCCAGGGCGCGATCCTGGAGACCCGGGATCGAATCCCACGTCGGGATCCCGGTGCATGGAGCCTGCTTCTCCCTCTGCCTGTGTCTCTGCCTCTCTCTCTCTCTGTGTGTGTGTGTGTGAGACTATCATAAATAAAAAAAATAATAATAAATAAATAAATAAAAAATAAAACGCTAAACAAGAAAGGGCAACTGAGGCACCTGCTGGCTCAGTCGGTTGAGCATCTATCTGCCTTTGACTCAGGTCATGATCCTGGAGTCTCAGGATCGAGCCCTATGTTAAGTTCCCTGCTCACCAAGGAGTCTGCTTCTCCCTCTACCCATCACCCCACTTGTGTTTCCCTCTCAAATAAGTAAATAAAATCTTTAAAAAAAAAAAGAAGAGAGAAAGGGCAAAGGCTAAATCTACAGGAACACCTGGGTGGCTCAGTCAGTTAAGCAGCCAACTCTTGGTTTCAGCTCAGGTCATGATCTTGGGGTCCTTGGATCAAGCCCGCATCAGGCTCCGTGCTCAGCATGGAGTCTGCTTGTCTCCCTCCCTCCTCCTGCTTGTGCACTCTCTCTCTCAAGTACATAAATAAAATCTTAAAAAAAAAAAAAAAGGAGTAAGTCTACAAATGTCTTGCTTAACAACTAAAAGCTTATCTGGCCAGTAAGCAAATCTTTTCTCTTTTTAAATCAGCATGAAGAGCTCTGCTGTTTGAGCACTCAAGGGCACTAGTGGCCCTGAATGCTAAGAGAACTGAGCTGAAGAAAAGACCATGGGGAGAAGCCCAGGGCTCGGGAGCAGCAGCAAACTGGAGACAGAACACACCCACAAATCTGCAGAGAGAATCAAAATAACCATGATGTTTTCTTGCTAAAACATGGTGATGCAGTCCTATAACTCACTAACAAGCTCTGAGAAAATTGCTAACAAAAGACTGGGAGCCCCAAAAATGGAACTGATCCCATTTGAGGAAGGCCATTACTAAGAGGAAGCCAAGCAACTTCTAATAAAACAACCTGTGACCCAGCAATCCCACTCCTAAATATACATCCAACAAAAATAAATGTACATGTTCACATAACCACTTATACAAAAATGTCCATAGCAGTTTTACTCATAATAGTCCAAACTGACCATCAACGACAGAAAGAATAAACAGACTGTGGGCATCCATATAAAAAATACTTCTCAAAGAAGCAATCAAAAAGAAAAAATACTGATCCATGTAAAAACATGGATGAACCCCACAAACTGTATATTGAGAGAAAGAAGCCAACCGCCAAAGTGTCCATGCTGTATGATTTCACTGATAAAAAGTCCCTTTTATAAGTAATACTAATCTAGGGCACCTGAGTGGCTCAGACAGTTGAGCATCCAACTCTTTGTTATGGCTCAGGTCATGATCTCAGGGTCCTGGGACTGAGTCCCATGTCTGGGCTCTGTGCTGAGCAGAGAGTCTGCTTGTCCCTCTCTCTCTGCCCCTCCTCTCTACTTGTTCTCTCTCTCTCACTTTCAAGTGAATGGATAAATAAAATCTTTTTAAAAAATTATAAAAGCAAACTAATCTATGGTGATAAAAATCAGAACAGTGGTTGCCTCTGGTGGGGGCGGGGAGGGGTGGTGGTGGCGGGAGGGCATTGGCAGTTGACTAGAAAGAGTCCTGAAAGAACTTTCTGGGGTAATGGGTGTATGTATTTGTCAAAACTCACCAAGCTGTACTCCTTAAGAGTAAAGCATTTTACTTCATGTAAACTAGACCTCAAGAAAGACTTAGTCATTAAAAGAAAAGGGGTGGGGGGCTAAAGCTCCAGAGTCCCAGAATCTGGAACTCACTCAGTTTATGAAAGCTGCTTAATGTGAAAGATCTTCATGCCAGGGGCACCCCGAATACCTCTATGGCAGTCAACAATTACATGCGGAGTCCCAATGGGGCAGCTGTGAAGCCCAACAGAAAGCTATTTCCCGAGGCCCCTCTGTTGATTCCCACATTTCATCAGGTCCTGTTGTACTTCACCCAAGCCTCTGTGGGAAGTAGCCTGGCTCCCACTGCAGCTAGGGGATTGCTCCAGTGGTGTAGGCAGGGCCAAGGGTGTGTCCCAGGGTGGATCAAGGCTGTGCTTCCTGTTCCCTCCACCCTCTTCTCTCTGGCAGAGAGGGGCAGGGCCCCTCTCACAGCCTGTGCCTCTCACTGCACAACTGAAAGCTCATGGCATGTGTGGGTCTACCTAAAAGTAGAAAGAGAACCACTTTGAGACATGGAGAACATAAAGTTTTCCACGAAACACTGATTCAAGGAGAAGGCTTCAAGTCCATTTTTGGAAGAGGTTGAAATTGGGGAATTCATTCAGCACTAGTCTGAAGAGTCAGGAGCAGAGCAAAGAGATGTGGGGTGGCTTGGAAACGAGGGAAGGAAAGCCAGCAACGGCCAACGAGGGACAATGTACTACCAGGAGCCACTATGGGCTTCACAGAGAACTGGGAGTTTGGTCAAAGTACAAGGGAGCTACAATAAGGAGATGAATGCTAGAAGACCCTGTTGGGACAGTGACACTGATGGAGCTCTGGGCCAGGCAAGTGATGACAATGGTCCTAGCTCACCAAACAGCACATTCTTTTCAGAAACTGAGAAACCAGGCTATTCTTGAGACTCTTCTCTTTCAGAAGATGATACCAAGAGAATATCTTTTTGAGTCTAAAATTGCTTTTTTACAGTGTTATATTAGTTTCATGTATACAATACAGTGATCAACAATTCTATATATTACTCAGTGCTCATTGTGTTGAGTCTAATATTATTAATGGCTCTGACATAAGGCATTAGAAATAGAATGTACTACCTTAGATATCAACTAACACTGACCCTTGTACCTGATAACTACGACCAAGGCTCAAGACTGGCACCAGCCTCTCCCTTGAGCCAAAGGCTCACCCGTCAACTATCAGGTTCCATACCTTTTAGGACTCATTACTTCACCAGGTGAACACTGTAATGACGGGACAGCCTTCTCACAACCACGTCCTGTGACCGTGACAATAAAGGCTGTTCCTTGGCGATCACCTTTCTAGAAGGCAGTGCTGTGTGAAATGGTTGACTACCCAGTCTTTGCACAGGACTTAAGAATGGCTTCCTAATGAGCCTCCCCCAACGAGCCTCCCCAGCTTCCTAATGAGCCTTCCTGCCTGTGATGGAAACACAAGCCTCACAGCATGAGCCCCAGGCGGCTGCCAACCACACTACGGTTTCACAGCAGGTGTTTCTCCAAAATGAATGACCTTTGCTCTCGGGTAGAGACTTGGCCCCTCCTTCCCTACTACCCAAAGTTTGGGCCCATTATAGTGGAGACCAAAACATGCCGGTGAAGTTGTAAAATGGCACTGGACAAAGCCCCTTTCATTGAGATGTGGCACAGAAAGAAGTCTTCAGAGTTCTTGTCTAGTGACCTGAGGAACTGAAAATATCTTTGCTGACCCCAAGATGAAACATTGCAAATGGACTACCAGCGTATGGCCCTGCACATTATGAAACTGGTGAAGTCCCCAAAGCCTAGCAGTGTTGTGAGATGCTCGGTGGCATGGGCACCAGGTGTTTCAAAGTTAGATACATTCGATACTTTTGTCCTTCCAGAACCAAGAGTCACTAGATTAAATATGCCATTTTACTTGCCGAGATCAATTTTATTCTCTGCAAATGGCTCTGAGTTATCCTTCAGAGACTTTCATGCATCAGGCTGTGAGATTTATGTGGCATTTACTACCTTCAGATGTGTTTAGTATCAAGCGGAGACTCATTAGAACCTGCTCTCTGCCTTCTTCCCTCACCCCAGAGGGTGCACAGGGAAATGCCCAGCAAAACACATTTTAGGCCTGGGAGGAAAGCCAAGGATTCATAATGACTTCTCCAAGTGAGGTTGGGAGACTGAATGCCCTGGTGCCAGAGCCCCTGGACGGCACTGAGCTGTTTCTGACCTTGAGTGTGGGGAATGGTCTCAGAGCCCCAGGCACTGACAGCGCTCCCTACACTGGCAGATACCAACCTATATATATGCACGCAAGTTTTTGAACTGCAAAAGACTCTTCTGTTTCTGTTCAGAAATTAGAACAAATTTGCCAACACTCTTGTGCATACCTGATCCAGAGCTAAGCATGGTCCCTCCATAGATATCCAAAGCCAGCTGAGAATAGGCAAAGCCAAAAATGGTGATGGTCAGGCCGGCCAGCAGGGCCAGCTTGAGCAGGGACTCCAAAACCGCAGCAGCCACGGCAACATCCTCCTGGGGTGGAGGGAGAGGGAAGGAAGTTAGATGAATCACGAGCTAAAGAAAAACCTCACATCTGGCTTTCCTTCTCTGCTGTCTTACAGATCACTCTTTCAACTGCTGAGAGGTATCCTTGCTTTTCTACAGCCTGTGTTTGTTTTCACGTCAATTAGCAAGAGGGAAATGAAGGGAAAAAAGCCAATCTGTGCCTCCATAGGTAGTGCAGGGAAGGTTTGGTTTTTAGCTCATTTAGGATAAGTTATTTCAAAGGTTGCTTAGGAAACATTCACTTTCCTCTCTGATATTTATTCTTCAATGGACAGCAAGTTTTTAAATTGCTAGCTGGCTAGTTTTGTCAGTGTGCTTCTCCTGACAAACGTCTCCAAATCCTGACGTTCCTGTCAAAGCATGCTTAGGAAAATATTCCTAAATCAACAGAGAACCAGATTAGTTCATTCTGAGATATTGTGCATAAACTGTATTTTGCAAAGTGTCTTCTAAGACACATAAGAGGCTGACTTAGCTTCCTTTTAATTCTAAGATAAGTCAGACATTTTCAATGGTTTTAGAAAAAGGGGTTTCTAACAACCAAATATGCCTGGATTAAAATCTCTTCTGCATTTACCAATCGGAGTAGGCAGATTTCCATGGCCAGAGTGCAGTCTGGGCACATGAATTCAGTATATTTAAGGAGCTTAGACACATGGTATGGTGAAACCTAATGACCATGTCCTTTCCTCACCACACCATATGCAAGCCTTGCCGCAACCTCTGCCTCCTTTGGCTCACTTTTGGTTCTTGAGAATCTGAGGATGGAGGAGACAATCTCATTCTTCCAGCTAAGCCTAGAGCATGGGTGGTGGGGGGTGGTCTATGCCACACGGGGGACAGCCGCAGAGAGTTCTGAGAGTTCAAGAATTAGGTCACAAGGAAGGACTAAGGGTTAGAAGGGAAGGGCAAGCCAGGGCAAAAGAAGTGAGCTCGAGTCCTGACATCATTCATGAAGGTGATGGAAGAATGAAACCCAGAAGGAAATTTCAGATCAAACAAGAGAAACTCATTGCTGTTTATCCTGCAATTGGAGAATTCACTTGAGATAATGACATAAGACCAAGAGTACCTGCTTCTGAAGTGTGGCATCCTTTCCTCTCTCCAGTACCTTAGCAAAGAATATGTAAAAACTCTCCTCTATTGGCTGGAAAATTAACCTGGCCACAAGGGAGCCAAGATTATTTACTATATCATATACACCTATAAGACAAAAAGGAAGAAATGATGATTCCTACTGGTTTTTCTATTTGAATTTTCACAGCACCACGAACAGTTTTTCTAATTTAATTTTTTAAATTAAACTGAGATAGAGATTCACATGTAGTTCTAAAAATAACAGATCCATTACCCAGTTTCCTGACAAGTAACATCTTGTGAGAGCATTGTACAATATCACAGGTAGGATACTAACATTGATACAGTCAAGATATAGAACATTTCTATCACCAGCACCCTTTTATAAAAATCATTAATGCCAGGGTAGCTCAGTCAGTTGGGTGTCCAACTCTTGGTTTCACCTCAGGTCTTGATCTCAGCGTCCTGGGATTGAGCCCCACATCAGGCTCCAGGCTCAGCAGGTAGTCTGCTTGAGGATTCTCTCCCTCTGCCCCTCCCCCTACTCCTTCTCTCCCCCAAATAAATAAGTAAATCTTAAAAAAAAATATATATCACTTAAAAATAATTTTAAAACTTAAAAAAATCACTAATGCCAAGTTGGTTTTTAAAATTTTTTCTTTCCATTACCTGAGGATTACAGTCAAAAATAAATATGAAAAGGGGTGCCTGGGTAGTTCATTTGGTTAAGCATCTGACTTCAGCTCATGTCATGATCTGAAGGTCCTGGGATTGAGTCCTAAGCTGGGCTTCATGTTCAGCAGGGAGTCTGCTTGAGAATTCTCTCTCCCTCTCCCCCCGGTCATGTTCTCTTAGATGGAAGGAAAGGAAAGGGAAAGGAAAGGAGAGGGAAGGGAGAGGGAAGGGAAGGGAGAGGGAAAGGGAAGGGGAAGGGAGGAAGGAGAGGAGAGGAGAGGAAAGGAAAGGAAGGAAAGGAAAGGAAGAAGGAAAGGAAAGGAAAGGAAAGGAAAGGAAAGGAAAGGAAAGGAAAGGAAAGGAAAGGAAAGGAAAGGAAAGGAAAGGAAAGGAAAGGAAAGGAAAGGAAAGGAAAGGAAAAAGGAAAGGAAAGGAAAGGAAAGGAAGGAAAGGAAAGGAAAGGAAAGGAAAGGAAAGGAAAGGAAAGGAAAGGAAAGGAAAGGAAAGGAAAGGAAAGGAAAGGAAAGGAAAGGAAAGGAAAGGAAAGGAAAGGAAGAAGGAAAGGAAAGGAAAGGAAAGGAAAGGAAAGGAAAGGAAAGGAAAGGAAAGGAAAGGAAAGGAAAGGAAAGGAAAGGAAAGGAAGGAAAGGAAAGGAAAGGAAAGGAAAGGAAAGGAAGAAGGAAAGGAAGAAGGAAGGAAGGAAGGAAGGAAGGAAGAAGAAGAAAGAAAGAAGAAAGAAGAAAGAAGAAAGAAGAAAGAAGAGAAAATATTGAGACCTATCTAGCTGTATAAATATGGAGCAGATCTGTGATAGTCACGATAAGCTCCCTTTTCTCTTAGCACTCCAACCCCTCCAACGGGCACCAGAGCTCTGCAGAAACCAGGGGATCTCAAACGAGGGCCTGCCAGCTGAGTCATATGGAGGGGGGGTGGTAGTCACTGCATGCACTGTAGATTTTGCAAAGACCTACAATCTTCAGGAATCATTTTATTACAGCCCTCATCTTTTATAATCATCAGGTTTATTATTCTTTATTAAATGTATCAAACTGCTGAGAAAAATATTAGAAAGTATCTACTAATGGTGTTCACTACAGCATTTTCATCTTACCTTGATCACCAAAATTTAATACGTTCAAAAAAGTCATTATGTATCGCTCACCTACAAACAGAGAAGCAAAATAATTAGCATTTCAAGGGCACATTATTTTCTTGTTTCCTTCTTATTGTCTATCAACTTTTCAGCTGGCAAATACTCTCAAAGAAGAAAAATTATATTACCAATTGAAGACATCTTCCTCATCCAAACGTTGATGTCAAATAATCTTAAAATAGTAACAACTGGGAGACTGCTAGGGGATTTATTGACAGCAAATCTCCAAACCATTAAATTAAAAACCAAACAAAAATCAATAAAACCAGTCTAATAACTTAAAAAAGGAGGGTGGGGGAAGATTACAAAAATGTTAATAATAAAGATGATTGTCCCAAATTTTAAGTGTAAGTTCTGTGAAATGATAGGTCCATGATCATGTGCATACACTCATCAAGTTGCCTCCCATGGAGGCTGGAGAGGCTCTGGAATGCAAGCTCATGATTCAAATCTAAGGCTAACGCCTTCAAGGTGAAGACACCAACCCAGAGCCCCATCCCCACCTTCCATAAATTTTATTATCCATGAGTAGAAAACACAGTCCACTACGGAGATGGAGCTCTGAAGAATGACCACAGCCCAGAGGGCAAATTCTCACCTCCTACCAACCTGCTCAAAAAGGAAAACAACATTCAGAAGCCAGAAGCAGTGAGGTTCTTAGGTCTCCCTTTGGTCCTGGCCTCCCTGCAGTCTCCCAGCACTGTGTCTGAGGCAGGGTCCTCTGTAGGCCGTCCCAGGTGGGGCCCACAGGACAGCACTAGGTCCTATCTGCATCTCTGCACTGCTCTGATTCATCCTCACTGCTAACAGTCCCAGCTTCAGCAATACAGATCTTAAGGCCACCCCTCCTTTCACACCTTTATTTATTTTTTAATTTTATTTATTTATTCATGAGAGACAGAGAGAGAGAGAGGCAGAGACACAGGCAGAGGAAGAAGCAGGCTCCACACAGGGAGCCCGATGTGGGACTCGATCCCGGGTCTCCAGGATCATGCCCTGGGCTGAAGGCAGGGCGCCAAACCGCTGAGCCATCCAGGGATCCCTCTTTCACACCTTTAAATTGCTCTTTAGTGTTTGCAAAAACTCCAGGTTCCTTAATTCTGCATTTGAGGCCTTTGTAAGTTGACCCCGTGCTATGTTTTTAGTGCTCTTTCACTGACTTCATCCCCACCTCCCAGCACTACATTGTCATCCTCTGGTTTACCTGACCAGCTTTTAGCCCTTCTGAGCTGCTCAGCTTTGGGCTGGGCCCCTCCTGCTCCCAGCCTCGGCTCTTAGCATGCTGGCCACCTAGTCTGGCTTTTCCATAGGGACCTGACTCTGCTCTGGTACAACTGCCCTCTCCTCCCACAGTCTCTAAGCTCCACGGGGACAGGAACTACATCTCCCTCATTTTTCTGTCCCTGGTTTCCTAGCAGAGCTCCAGGAAATGCAAGAGCACTTGAGAGACACTAATGTTTCCAAGTACACCCCTCACAGCATCTTGGATGAGAGAATGAGCTCCTTGAGGCTGTGGCCTATAACTCATTCATCTGTATATTCTCAGCACCTGGCACACAGTGTTCAGGAAATGTGGGGGCAGAAGGTAACAGCATCTATATTTTTGCTATTACAACGAATGGTTTCAACTTTTTTTAGAGTTGTAGTTTTTAGAGAAAAAATAATTGGGGGGGCGGATGTTCTCTTGTCCAGCCACTTCCTTATTTCACAGCAATGGAGACGGAAGCCCTGAGAGGTTCCCAACAGCCCTCTGCTGTCACACCAGCAAAGGTCTAGCCACAGGGCAAGCAAGCAATCGGTACCACATTCAGGCCTGGTTTACAGCTGCTGCCGTCTAGCTACTGCAGCCCAGGCAACCAATTTAGGCCCATTGCATGGACTGGATCCATTCCTCAACTCGTTTAAACTGCTCTTAAAACTTTGGGAGACAGTACATAAAAGCAAACACCCTTTCCAAATTCCCTCTATTGATTTTCCTTATTCTAACAATGTAAACTATCACAATATACAATTTCACTACAGGTACCTTTCTTTATCAACAATAAATACTTGTTGAACACCAAGCATGTGCCAGTCCCTGCAGGGTATTGGGGAGACAGTAGTAAACAGCACATCCTGCTCCCAATAAACATAGAGTTAAGGCACCTTCACTCAGCTCTCCAAAGGCTTCTGACCATTTCCCCAGAAGTCCTGTGAACAAGTTCTACTTTTGTAATGGCAATGTTATAGGCTCAGGCTAGAAATAAGCACTCTCAGGGCTCAGGAGCCCTCAGACCCCTCCTGATCCCATCCCTTAACTCACAGACGGGGATAGTGAGGCTTAGGAGAGTTATTTCCCTTTAAAAGCATAATTAACAAAAAATAAAGAGGAAAAAAGGAAAATAACAATAATAATGATGGCTATATTAGAATGTTAGAATTATAGGGAACTTTTTTCTATTTTCCAAAATTTTTGAAACAAGGTTATACTATTTTTACAATTAAAAGATAATGTTTGAGGGGCGCCTGGATGGCTTGGTTGGTTAGGCGACTGACACTTGATTTTGGCTCAGGTTATGGTCTCAGGGATATGAGATCCAGCCCTGCATCTGGCTCTGTGCTTGGGATGGAGCCTGCTTAAGATTCTCTCCCTCCCTCTTTCTGGCTATCAGCCCTGCAGCTCACACGCATGTGCACTCTCCCTTGCTCTCTTAAAAAGACAATTTTTGAAAAGATTTAAAAATATGTTCAGTAATAGATATATGGATATACAGACATATGAAATTTATACAGAGAGAAACCACTAACTTTACCAGCTTCTTGCTGCCTCAAATCTCATTCTTTGAACTAAAGCTGGGCATAAATAGACCAATACACATGTACAGAAAAACTAGATGTACTTTCAGCTCCAGGCCAGCCCTCTGTGTGAAGAGCTCTGTCACTGTTAATCTGGAAAGCCTTAAGAAATTGGGACTCTGGCAAACTATCACACAGGTGAATCTTATTATTTAAGAAAATAAAATGATGGAAACCTGGTTCTTTAAAAATGTTCAAAAGAAGTATATAAAAAGTTAGAATAGGATAATGAGATTACAGATAATTTTCTCTGTTTTCCAGATTTTCTCTAATTGATATAGAACTTCATGATACATCTCTTTAAATGATAAAACACGGGATTTGGGAATTAGACTTGAATTCAAATTAAGTTGTTCCTCATTACTAAGACCCCGCAGAAGTTATACAATAGCACTGACCCTCACTATCAAGCTAAATAAATGTCAGTTTCCCTCTCCCTATTTAAAAAGCTTCTATTTCTGAGGTTCCTTTGCCCAGGGGGCTCCAGAAAGCATGTTGCCTGGGTTTAGGTAATCGGTAGTTCTGTGGAATCCCCTTTTTCAAACTATGGTGTCCTGATTGCTAAGAGTGACTTTTCACTTACCTTCTGTCAAAATCTGCTTCAAGAAAGACTGTTTGAAAAAACTCCAAGTCAATTTAGCCTCTTTCCAATTTACAAAAGCCTAGAAGAGAAAACAAAACAAAAGCTCCTAGGTATTGCAAGTCTAAGAGTAAAATAAATAATCCTAAGGAGAGGCAAACTCATTTTGGTCCCTAAATCCCAACTTGGGGAGTTCCTACAAATTTTTCAATTAATGCTAAGCACATAGAAGGCACCCGACAAATCCTGGCAAAGGGTTTCCATTGTCCTAGAGACAAACTCTCTAGGTGGAGTGTTGGTATAAGAAGCCCACCCAGGAATCATTTGCTGAGAGCCCTAAGGAACTGTGCTGTCCCCTTGCTGCTCAGTTAAGCTGACCATATCTAACCCACGCAACTCAGAGTCATCTCCTTCCTTAGACAATGTCTGAAGCATGCCAAGCTGCAGAACAAATTCTACTCCATACACCCCACACCTTAATGCTATATTTAGCCATCCAGGGTCCCTTCACACAATGTATAAATGAACTTTGTGTATTTCAAAAGGAAGCCAGGCTTCCTAGGTCACGCAAACCGCTCAGAACTGATACGACAGAGGAAAGGAAAAAAAAAACAAACCCAGAACTTTTGATATAGCTCTTCCCAAACTGTCCATTTCCTAAGGACAAGGAAGGTAAGAAGAAAGACACTTAGGAAGGGCAGAGGTCAACTTGTAAGGGTAGGCAGTCTTAAAGCCAGACTGCTGACCACAAAATGGAAGAGGGAGGCAGCTAGCTGGATGAGATTTCTTTCTCTCTTCCCCAGTGCACCCCAGGGCCTCTCCTCTCCCATGGAGGGATCCTAGGATCCCAGAATATTTAGTCTGGGTGTTATGTTAGGTGCTTCATTTCAAGGACTTGAATTTTGAAAAATTCTTATTAACTCAAAGTGATGACTTTGAAAGGGAGGATTTCATGGGGTTCTTTGGGAGGAAAGGGGTAAATCACAAAGGTCAAGCGCATTCCACCTCTCCAAAAAATCAGTTACAGCTATAGAAGTTGCCTGAAGGGCAGATGTAGAACCTGTCCCAGTCACATGGGCCCCTGATCTCAGCCCAAAGCCCACTGGTGTAGAGCACTGCTGTCCAGTGAAATATAATGCAGGCTATATATATAATTTAAGTTTTTCTAGAAACCACAGTGAACAGTAAGAAAAATAAAGTAAAATTATTTTAATATATTTATTTAATCCAAAACATCATTTCAACATGTAAGTAAATATTAGAGGCATTTCATGTTTTTTTCATACTAAGTCTTTGAAATCAGTGCTTACATTGCATGTACAGCCCAACTCAATTCCAAATGCTCTAAAGCCACATGTGGCCGGACACAGTAAGTGTAGAGTATCTCTTGAAAACAAGGGTCACTTTCAGTCTTCAAATCTCTTCAGCCCTTGATTTCAGAGCCTTTCTTCTAGACACTGTGAAAACAGGCCTGAATCTTCCCAAATCACGCTGCCCTCAAAGCATCATTGCACCTGGAGTAGATGCCACTGGGAGCTCTAGTCCAAGAGTAAATCTCCCCTCTTTGCTGTACAACAAAAGTAGGCATAAGGGCGCCTGAGTGGCTCAGCCAGTTAAATGTCTGCCTTAGTTCAGGTCATGATCTCAGGGTCCTGGGATCAAGTCCCACATTGGGCTCCCTGCTCAGTGGGGAGTCTGTTTCTTCCTCTCCCTCTCTCTCACTCAAATAAATAAATAAAATAAGAAGAAAGAAAGAAAGAAAGGAAGAGAAAGGAAAGAGAAGAAAGAAAGAAAGATAAAGAAAGAAAGAAAGAAAGATAAAGGAGAAAGAAAGACAGAAAGAAAGAAAGAAAGAAAGAAAGAAAGAAAGAAAGAAAGAAAGAAAGAAAGAAAGAAGAAAAAGAAAATTAGGCATCTCCTTTCCCCAGAACTAAGAGCGCCAGAGTAACACCACTAGGGGGCACTGTGAGCCACATCATCCCTAGCACTGATCCCGCCCTTCGCTCCAGGGGAGTTGTGGGCAGCTCTCTCTCAGTCTCTCCGTCACACTCTGGGCCCCACACCAGGTGGTCCTCTGGGGGAGGCCTGTGCAGCAGTGCCTGTGTTCTTTTCCGAGGAAAGGAGCAGTTACAGCTGGCCATGGAGCTTTTGTGAAGACTACTTGCCAGAAGGCTGTGAATGGGTTTAGGAATATGACTGAGCTCTCTAAAAAAAGGTTGTTTACTAGAGTGTAATCTTGACAGTGTATCTGATCTGAAAGCTCATATGGGAGCATTCCATTCTCCTAATGCGTTCAACTTAAATGGAACTGCAGTTTAGAAGGAATGGTGACACCACTTATCTCAAAAATGCTCACTCAGGACATAGAGGCAGGAAGTCTGATCAGAGATTGGGTTTCTTCTCCAAGGTGTCTGCTAAGTGGTAGAAAAGAAGCAGCATGGGTTTTGGGCTTTTACCATTTTGTTTAGAATGTATTTATCACTTGGGAAGTCAAAAGAGGCCTATTTCACAAGAGCTAGGTTGGTACTGCTTAGCTGGTCTTCACAGCTCTGTGTCTCTCTGGAATCCTCTGATCAATAAGCCATCCCACTGCCTTGCTGTACTGGTGGATGGCAAAAGGTGATAGGCAGTATCTCAGGGGAAGGTATGCAGTCAGAACTCGGGGATACATGATGGCTTAATGTGAGTCAGTCTTCCCCTTCCCAAACTCTTCTGCTTCAGGATGGTCCAGCAGCCATGTGCCTCCCATACTGACAAGAGTCACCGAGGAGTCTGCAGCCAATGGCCCTGTCCTGCCCTGTATCACCTATACATCCCACACCGGACCCCTTCCCCTCCCTCTTGCTCTGGGGCCATCAACTCTGCCCCAGCTATGTCCACACTCACACGTCCACCCACCCTCCCACTGTTCTCATCACTCCTCATTTGGACAACTGCCACTGCCTCCTCATGAGCTTTTTCACTTCCAACCTATTTTCTAGTCCATCCTTCTCCTGGAAGGGTTCAGGTTTCGGAGTCAAGCTCAGACACTAAGGCTCAAGCTGCAGTTCTCAACTTCTTAGTGTAAAAACTATGGACAAGACACTTAATTTTGCTAAGCCCCAGTTTTCCCATCTGCAAAACGGGTAAGGAGTCCTATCTCCTGGATCTGATATGAGGACTGAATGAGAGAAAACAAGACACTCGATGTGAAACAGATGGCAAGCACCTCAACATAGGCAATTGGATCACAGCACTGCTCACAAAACTTTCATTAGGATCCCCTGCCCCTGAATCAAGTCCACACTCCAGGACACTGAGGCCACTGCTACCTGGCCCTAGCCCAGCAGGCAATAACCCCCTTCCACCATTTGCTTCCTCTCCCCTCATGCACTGTCCAGCCAACCTAAGTATAGCAGTCACCTCTGCAATCCCAATGTCAAGACAGTGATGGGCATATAACTAGTTCCAAGCAAATGTTCTTTCTTCCCGCAGTGGCAAATGTGCATTTTCACTACACATGCACATTCACTTCTGCCTGCCCAAGTGTCGAGGCCCTGCTCAAAAAAGCAGCTTCCTGCAGAAAGTCTTCTTCCATGCTCCCATATGGAATTCATGTTCTTTCTCTGTGCTTCTATTTTGTTAACACTACACACAGTGGTTATCTGAGTACACACCTTATCTCTTCACCACAATGCAAGTTCTGAGGGCGGGGACCCCACTCAAGGTACCTGAAACAGTGCTTAACACAGAATACTGCTTATCACATGCTTGCTGTGTTAAATTCCTCAGATGTACTTAAACATTTGCAGATCTCTCCTATGAAATCACTCAGGTGTTAAAGAATATAAAAGATATAAAAAGCAGCCATTATTTGAAGTATCATTTATTATAAGGCTAAAAAAGTCCCTTACAGAAGATAGAATTCTGCAAGTACAAGAAATCTATCTCCCAATTTGGTCAAATCAGTTTTGGATGTAACTGTTGACCAGCTCTGTGTGAGGGAGCCTCCAGTGTGCAAAGCAGCTCCCAAGAGTCACGCTGCTGGAAGTAAAATCATCAACTGCATTCAGACTCATCTCATTTCTTTCCTCTTTCACAAAAATAAACTTGAATAATGAATTGTTCTATCTGAAAAAATGTTATGTCAACAAATAACTACTTAGGGCAATAAGCCAATTTCTTTCAGAAGACTACACAACAGAGATTAAACACATAGACTAAGGTTAGTCCACAACCCCATGTTACAGAGAAGTGGGTCCAAAATCAGGTGTGTGATGTTGGTTTGGTCACTTAACTCCTCTGAATCTCAGTTTTCTCATTTGCAAAACAGAAACAAATATCTCACAGGATTACTATGATGGTTAAACACACGAGTCTGTGTAAAGGGCTCAGCATAGTGCAAGGCACAGTCAGCAATGGTAGTTATTATAAATGGTTTTGTCCAAGTTCAAATATTTCACAATTCTTTAAGTCTTAAAAGGGGCCTCATGGGTCATGCAGACCAATAATCTCACCTTAAAAATAAGGACTCTGAGGTCTGGAGAGAGTCCTGCCTCCCAAACATACAGGAAGCTCCCTGAGGCCCAGCAATCACCTTCCTACATGTCTGTAACCCTGATGGCACCCCGCATGGGGCTGTGCTGTCAGCAGGAATGGCGCCACCGTGTAAGAGGAGGTACACATACCCTCTCACAGTCAAAGCTTCTGTCCTGGCAGTATGAGTCTGGGTACTTTTGGGGGTATGCCTGATGGAACCACTGAGGCCCTAGCCCAATGCTGTAAGACACCACCTCACTAGGATATGCCAGTGGAGCTACTCCTACACAAAGCAGCAGCGGCATGGGGGTGACAGTATCAGCTGTCACTTATGGACACCCACTTGTGCCAGCCATGTACTAAGTACTTCCCATGCCCCATTTCATCCCACTCCCACAAGCACCTGAGGAGAGTGGTACTCTCCCACTTGACAGATAAGGAAACTGTAGCTCAGAGCTGCAAGTCCACCATTGGGTTAAATATACACTCGCTGCCCTCCTATCCTCCTATCCTCCTAAGGCTCTCCTCGCTGCCCTCTATCTCCTTGCCTCTATTAATGGTCCAAATGCTCCTTTTCAAAATACTCCTGGGCACAGGGGCTGGCCCAGGCTTGGTATAGATGAACACTGGGGAGCACTGAGGAGGGGGACTTTCCTGCACTCTCAGACCTGCTCTGCATGTAGGCAGCAGAAGCTCCAGGCAGAAGTGATCCCAAATCCTTATCTTCTCAGCCTTCAGATGAAGCAACCTGGTATCCCAAAATGCTATGTCCATTTAGGTTAAAGGTGGGATCTGTTTGATCAGGATGGAGAACTCTCATTTAACAAATGAGAATTATCCGTCTTGGTTACGTAACATCTGGTCTTTCTTGAAAAGCTGTATAACAGGATTCCATAAGTTCTAAAACTTGCAGCTCAAATACTTCACTACTTTCTCAAGTAATCACAAAAGAAGAATAAGGAGAAGTCCAGCTGAAGCCTCACCTCAACTACATGCACCACATCTAGCCAGCAAACAAACAGGGGAAAGGGGAATGTGGGTGGGCCAGTTTGCAAAGCCTCTGAGCAGAGGCAATGCGGCATCACATCACGTGCACAACTCCGCAGCCACAGACAGTAGCAACGACCCCACCAGAGTCAGGAAATAAAAGTCAAATGGACTGACAGTTGAAGAGTTCAGAAGGAAAAGGTTATGCCTTGCTCCCACACATCAGCACCTAGAATCCTCAGGGGATTTCTCCAGGGGAAAGTGGGGCACCGGAAAGACTGGCCTGACTCTAGGTAACAGAGCTACAGGGAAGTCATCCCTGCTTTGTTAGGGCGTCGGACTCTGTGCTGGAAGCCAATCCTGGGAAAAGCCAAGACATGGAAGAACAAAGAGTGTGGCACGCGGTGGCCACAGCCTGTGATCTGCGGGGATTCAAGCCACTCCAGGCTCCTGCCCTTATCCTGACCCTCAACTTGAGCAGACAGTCTCTAAGCCTCAGTTCCTCAACCCTAAAATAGAAATAATAATGTCAGCCTCACAGAGTTGGTATAAGCATTAACTCAGGCACGTAAAGCATTCAGTGTAGGGGCTAAACGGGGAAGTTGTGTTCCCTGGGGGACATTTGTCTCCTATGGAGACATTTTGGGTGATTACAGCTGAGAGGTGGTAGCTACTGGCATCTAGTGAGTAAAGATCTGCTAAACATCCTACAAGGCACAGGACAGCCCCCAACAAACAATTATCCAGCCCCAAATGTCAGTAGTGCCGAGGCTGAGAAGCCCTGGCCTAGCATACAGCAAGCACTCAATAAACATGAGCTATGAAATTATCCTGTTATAGCAATAAACAAGAAAGCAATTGTTTCCTTCTTTCAGGGATAATCAGCATCTGTGATTAAAATGGTAAGAGATAGAGTGTATTACTTACTCCACTTCTTGTAATACTGGGTAACAGATCTGTCATTCTGGAGACAGGAAGAGCCTGCTGCTTGGTTGACTCTGAGGAGCCCAATAACTTTGTGAAATAAGTAACATAGCAGAGCACCAGAAGTGCAGTATAGAAAAGCTGAAAAAAGAAAATAATTGATTTAAACAGCACTGTTTTCATATAGGCAGCATTAAGATATGCCTGGAGATGTGACAAAGGCCAGACAAGCAATAGAACTGTCTTTATTAACTGCATCTTCTAGTGAGCAATGCTTCCCCCTCTGGAGAAGAGCACTACTCCCTAAGTACCAGCTCCACTGTGGCATCTCAGGGGAAAGTGCTCTAAACACTTCACGAGACTGGGAGAACAGGTCTTCTGGGCAAGCAGGACATCATTTCCCTGACAGACGGCCGGCCCCTAGTGCCACCACCAACGGCAATGTCAAATATGTTCTCAAAAGGTTCTTTTTTGGCCAAAGGAATGACTCTCCCACCTCAACAGCACACTGCAAGGACCCATGTGTCCTGTGCTAATATCCAAAGACTTGCTGTCCTAGATGACGGGGGCTTTTCTAAAAACTTGGGAAAGCATGTAAACATGGATTACAAAGCAGAACCGAGCTGTTGGCTCCCTCCTCTCAGGCCAGGTGCACAGGCAGGGCAAGAGCTATTCCAGGATGGGGGAGAGTGTGTGTGTGTGTGTGTGGGGGGGTGATAAAAAGGCCCACCCTTCCCTCCATGCAGCCAGGACAAAAGGGTGGCTTTTGGCCAGGAGCCACAGCCTGGGGTTTTGATTGCAGGTTGGGAGGAGTATCCAAACAGCCCCTTTCACAAGCTCTCTTCTGCCTCCTCTCCCTGCTGGGAACAGCAATGCACACTAGCTCAGGAAGGACGGGAGACCTCCAGGTGCCACCCTCAATCTGGAAATGCTAAGCCTGCTCCTGTGGCAAAGGCACACAGAGCAAGGAGAAAGGGGAGCCTTGTTTCGCACATCTGGCTCCTCGCTCTCCTCTGTCTATGCTCTCCATCCTTGTCTATGCCTCGCTCCCCTTGTCTGCGGACAGAGCCCACGAACCACCATCCTCCCTTTTTTCTTTTTTAAGATTTTATTTATTTATTCATGAGAGATACAGAGAGAGAGAGGCAGAGACATAGGCAGAGGGAGAAGCAGGCTGCATGCAGGGAGCCTGATGTGGGACTCGATCCCAGACCCTGGGATCACGCCCTGAGCTGAAGGCAGATGCTGAACCGCTGAGCCACCCAGGCGCTCCCAACCACCATCCTTCTTTCATGCCTCAGGCCCTTTAAGAAGACGCAGCAGTTCTGCCGTGAGTCATGACACCAGATACAACATCCTCTGTGACAAGACGACCCCCCTTCCCCCACTTCCCTTCATTTTCCCATGGACCTGGGGACATAGTAACAACCTATGGGTAGTCTTCATACAGTATATCCTAACTAAACAATCCCCCCCACCTTTTTTATTGAGGAAAAATTCATATCACACAACACTGACCATTTTAACCATTTTAAAACATCTAATTCAGTGGCTTTTAGTACATTCACAATATTGTACAACCACCACTCCTATTTCATTCCAGAAGATTTCCATCACTCCAAAAGGAAATTCTGTGCCCATTAAGCAGTCACTCTCTGTTCCTCCACACCCTGGCAATCAAAATCTGCTTTATCTCTATGGACTTGCCTATTCTGGACACTGCATATTAATGGAATCATACAATTGGTTGCCTTTTGTATCTGCCTTCATCCACTTAGTATGTTTTCCAAGTTTATCATGTTGTGGCACGTTGTCATTTTTATGGCTGAGTAATATTCCATAGCACACATATAAATTGTTTTGTTCATCCATTCATCAGGTAATGGACATCTGTGTTGTTTCCACCTTTGGGTTATGGTGAATAGTGTTGCTATGAACATCTTTATACAAGTTGTTTGAATACATCTTCAATCTTTTGGGTATATACCTAGGAGTGGAATTGCTGGGCATACTTCAGTTCTACATTTAACTTTTTGAGGAACCATCAATCTGTTTTTCACAGTGGCCATATGTTACAGCCCCAACGGCAATGTGTGAAGGCTCTAAGTTCTGCATATCCATGTCAACACTTGTTATTTTCTGGTTTTTTAATAAAAGCCATCCTAATGGGTGTAAAGTAGTATCTTATTGTGGTTTTGATTTGCACTTGCCTAATGACTGATGATATGGAGCATCTTTTCATGTGCTTATTGGCTATATATTTGTATATCTCCTTTGGAGAGATGCTTATTGAAGTCCTTTACTCAATTTTGGGTAGTCTGTCTTTTTGTTGTTGAGTTGTAAGAATTCTTTATATATTCTAGAGTGACTCTTTTATTTGACATATGATGTCATGGTATAAGGGGTTGTTTAAGAAGGAAACTGGAGGTGGGCTGGACAAAGGGGAATCCCAGAACCCTGGTGGGGACTGCCTGCTGATTTGAGGTGCTATTGGCTCTTAGACCTCTCACATAGACACTGACAGAGAATGTACCAGGCAAGAGCTCTCTGAAGTCTTATAATAAGAAAGCAAATGAACTCAGAATGGGCCTATGTTGACCTATGATGTATCCTGGGTGGATGCATCAGAAAGTCCTAATGCAAGTGCCTTTCCCAAGAAGAGTCAACCAACAACTGGGTGTCTCCATGGCCTCCTGTCCTATTAGGAAGAGTGTATCAAAAACACAATGGATGCATAGAAGTGTAGTTCCAGATCCAATAAAACATGGCAAAAATAATCACAAATAACTTCTCTAAGATACGAAACTGTTTGCAAATTGCTTTTAGGAAGCAATTTTCACTCTTATAATTTTAATTTGAAAGCTACTTTTTCTGTGTTTCACAAAAATATTTGTACTTTTTGCTCAGGACACGGGAAAGACTTTCACATAAATCACTACTAAAAATTTTAACTTATCTTCCTATACATTAAGAAAAATTACAAACTGCTTTGTACTATAAGCTGTTCTGGTAACTATCTAATTTTAAGATTCATTTTTAAAATGAGCACTGTACTCTAGTTGTACTTTCATTAGAGCTTGGGATATGAACGAGAACTAGAACATGGGATGGCAATGAGGCCGGGGCTGCTGGAAGTGAGAGCGTGCCTGCCAGGACTTGGTTCCTGTGCTCTGCATTGTGTGAGACTACAGTCCAAGTTCCAAACAGGCTTGGCAGAGTTTCCTCCTATTCTGAAAACACCTGACAAGGAAAACCACACACATGCAATTCAATTCCCACCCCACCCCTTCACTGCTTTTTTCCCTCCTCCATAAGAACATAAGACAATCAAAGGTGAGTTTGGCATGGGCTTGCCCACAGAACACCTAAAGGAGTTGCTAAGTTTGACAGTGAGGCCTAGTGTGGGGCCCTCACCAGGTCCCTGGGGACACTGGTAGCAGGATAGACAGCCAAAGGAAAAGCACTGTCAAGACTATCTTTCTAGAGCTTCCAGCCTGCCTCACATGCATGAATACTGTGACTGTAAATCACATAGTAACAGGAACAAGAAGAAAAAAAAAATCAAATGGGGAAACATAGGTTATACAAAAGGGAAAAGCTGTAACTCTTACCTGGGCCAAAGAGAAAATGTATAGCCCCCAATGAGGCAACCAGAGCACAAGAAAAGCTGTCAGGACGCTCTTGAGGATGACTGACAGGCTCTCAGCAATCACCTGCAAAAACGTGATAAAGGGTGCACTTTATATTATTAGAACTAAAGATGCACAGGAATGATGAATAGAAACCTAGGATAGTAGTTACCCTGGCAGCAGGAGTGGGACATAGGATTAGAACATAGCAATGATAATGTTCTAGGTGAGCTGGGTGATAAGTTCACAGATCTTCAGTATACTATCATCCTTTAAGATTTAGACATGTCCTATATACTCTTTTGTACATATCAAATTATATATTTTGAAAGATGAAAGGTTAATATCAGTACACAATTAAACACAGAGTCACTAGGGGCACCTGGGTGGTTAAGCATCTGCCTTTGGCTCAGGTCATGATCCTGAGGTCCTGGGATCGAGCTCCCTGTGTCAGGCTCCTTGCTCAGTGGGGAATCTGCCTCTGCCCCTCCTGCTGCTTGTCTCTCTCTCTCAAATAAATAAAATCTTAAAAAAAAAAAAAAAGACTAGAAAAATCTGAAAAACCTTTACAGTCCTCTTAAATTCTTATCTAAACTAAGAACTTCCCTATTGATAAACCTATTTTGCATTAATAACACAGCAGAGGTAAACTTAAGCCCAGCCCATCTGCCAAATTTCAAGGGGATGAACTAAACTCATCATATTGCCTTTTTCCAAATTTCCTTTTAGATGGAAATCTGAAAAAAATCATTCTCTCCTAGAAAACATTTTTAAGAAACCACCCTTTCCCTTATTCTTCACATTTCCCATCAAAGCAGAAAGCATACTGACCTTGAGTTTGACAAACATCTGTGTTTGTGCCAAGACCCAGAAGGGCTCTCCCAGAAGTTCTACCACGGCCGAAAGGCCAAACACCACTACTCCAGTTCCATAGTGGGGGACGACATTAGGATCAGGCACTTCGAGCAAGTGTAACCACACCCAGCCCAGGAGCAAGGACCAAAACACACCCAGGGGGACTCTGGAAAAGGGGAAAAATGTCTTTTAATATGCTAAATATAAAAATAAAAATAAATTAAAATAGCACTGAACAGAAAGGAAATATAGTCATAAAAATAGCTAGCACTACTAAGTGTAATAGTCATAAAATAGCTATAAAAATAGTCATAAAAATAGCTAGCACTAGTAATAGCTAGCACTAGCATTAGTGCCTTAGTAAAGGCACTTCCTACATGCCAGGAACTCGGATGCACCCCCTTTATCCCATGGACACCTCACTAAGATCCCTTCATTATCCTCATTTAAGTAATGAGGGAACTAAGACTGATGACAAGCACTGGGTAATTTGGCCAAGGTCATAGGCAGTTAGTCAAGGGCAGAAGCAGGACCCAATCTCCATCTAATGCCAAAACCTACACTCCTATCCACTGTGTTATGTTGACAAGATAAGCAAAATTCCCAGAAAGTACGTGCCTGTTGTTTGCACCTCAAATGACTAAAGTCAGTATCCAGTTGGCTCTTACATTCAAATAAGCAGCAGTCCATTGCACAGTGTCCCTTCGCATGTGCACCACAGAGCACTTAAATATGACTGAGTAGTTAACTGTCATTCCTCTAATAAAATGAACATCTACCAGCTTTATGACAGTCATTTCCACGAGGCAAGAAGGAGTTACGTAAGGCAGCACCAAGAAACAACCTCAAGGACCAGCCCTCCCTGCAGGGATCTAACTGCAAAAAGCCATTACAAGTTTTAGCTGATGTACTTGGCCTTCAAGAATATTCTAAAAGGCTCAGAACTGAAATCCACCTAACAAAATTGAAGAAAGATATAATGAAAGCCCTAAAAGGCTTTCAAAAAATCCTAAGTGGTTGTTAAAAGCCCAGAAAAGATTACAGGGGTAAAGATAAGGAATAAAGATGGCACAGGCCCAGTGGGGCCCAGAATGGGCATCAGGAACAGCAGAAACCATCTCCTAAGAGGGTAGAAACAGGACTAGAAACCAGGCCCCAAAACCCCCACCCAGAGCCTCCTCCCGGCTCCTGGCCATCCACAGAGAAAACAGCCAACAAACTCCTTCCACATGGACGCTCTCTCCTTCCTGTCCCATGCTCAGTCTCCAGAAACCACTCCCCAAACCCCCACCCCCCAATTAACTGAAGCTGGAAACCACTCAGCTTTGGGCAAGTGTTGCTGTTTAACCTAGAAGACTTGCTTTCACACTGTCTCCTGCCAAAGCACAACTCACGTTAGCCACAAGAGGTTGAAGGTCTGGCTCCAGTCTCGCTGGGCGCCCCCACTCAGACACGCTCTGCGGAAGGCCTCTCTGGCCAGGAAGATGGTGGTCGAGTAAAGCAGCGTCAGCCTGTAAAGCAAAAGCAGAAATCAATAATGACTCTAGTTTTTTTCCCACCAGAGAGAATTACTGAGATTTTGCCAGGGACAGGAAGACGTAGTCTTCTGAAGGGAGGTGAGTTCTTACAGGGCCTCGTACTTATCTGATCCACTGGAACTAAGAGTTACTAAACAGGGGACACCTGAGTGTGTGCCTACAGAGGCATTATGCTGGGACAAACACTGCCACAGTGGCCCCCAAAACCTAATGTTTCACAGCTATAGGCAGAGGTACGGCTCTGACCATATGGAGGAGAAAAGGACAAGATATGACCATACACAACAAGGGAACCTCTTGGTCACCCTGAGACTGGTGACCCGTCAATTCTTGGAAGCTGAGGCTCTACTGGGTGGAAGCTCTGGCCAAAAGCATCTCAGGACAGGCAATACTTGTTACAGAGGTCATTGCAACCCAGATCAGCAAGGCTTATCTGCATACTTCCTGGATAGGCAGTACCTAGGTAGACTCTCCTGCACCTATGTGAGAGGTAGCTGAGATTTTCCCTCATCAATAGACGTGGCTGATGAAGCCACGTGAGGACAGCCCAGGGCTAAGGTCTCTCTGAGGTTGTCCAAGGATCATGCTGCTACCCAGTGCTTCTGTCCACCATCGCCAATGAGGAGATCAAATCATATGTTAAGTAATAAGGGGCAGGCCAGACAATGGTTGTCAAAGCAGAGACCTGCTAATCTAGGGGAGACAGGATAATAAGAAGCCCAAACTGCTTTCAAATCTGAGCACCTAAAAGATTTGGTCCTCTTCCTTCCTGCTTTTTAATTTTTTAAAATATTTTATTTATTTATTTGAGAGTGAGAAAGTGCATGTGCACAAAAGAGCATGAGCAGTAAGGAGGGGTACAGGGAGAAGAAGAAGCAAGCTCCCTACCCAGCAGGGAGCTCGATGCAGGCTCCATCCCAGGACCCTAGGATCATGACCTGAGCCACAGACCTGAGCCATGACCTGAGCTAACTAACTGAGCCACCCAGGTGCCCTAAAGATTTTATTTTTAAGTAATCTGTACACCCAATGTAGGACTCAAACTCACAACCCTGAGATCAAGAGTCACACACTCCACCCACTAAACCAGCCAGGCACCCCTCTTCCTGCTTTTAAAACAGTATTTCTCAAAGTATGGCCTCTACTTTAAAATCATCTAAGGAGCTTGTCAAAATACTGATTCCTGGGCTCCTCCTCAGTCCTAGTGCAAAACTTCTCAGATGATCCCTTTGCCCGTCAAAATTTGAGAATCTCCTCGAAACTCTGAGAACAGAGCCCAGAGCATATGTCTGGTGGGTATCTGATGTGAAATGCTGTCTAGAACACACTGTCTTGTTTATCAGGACATGAAGATACACCTGAGAAGCTGAGCTATTCTGAGCACTCACATCACTTCATATACTTTTGTGTCATTTGTGAATACAGAGTATGTGTGGGTGCCTTTGAACAGAAAGGAGAGGAGAAGAAACAAAATGGAGTCTAAAAGACAAAGCAAGGCAGCTTTCTAAGAGCCTCCAAGGGACTCATGACAAGAACTCAAGCTCTCACCCTAACTACCATTTTCCAATTATAAAAATTCACTGAGGAGGGAAGGCAGGCTGCTCCAGCCCTGCAATTACACAGCACATCCTCACGAACTGCAGAATTCCTGCTTCCTTTGCTGTCAGCAGGACAAGAACACAGGATTATACCTGAGACAGAGTTTGCAGAGAATTACTCCCACTCCTCTCTTGGGTTCTAAGAGCAGGCAAACCGGAACAGCTGGCAGAGAAATATGCGTTTGGAGGCCACTAATGGAAAACACTTCATGGGGCCATTAAAAGCAACATCGCCTGCTCATTCCCCCACCCCGGCGTGCTCTTCCTCAGCCTACTGCTAAAACACTCTGCTTCTGGTAAAAGTCCATGCTTCTAAAATGTGAGGGTGGCACACAGGTACCCTGACTAGGACGTGAGTTTTAGACAATACCAGGATACAACCCTTCTTACCTTACATTCACTATGCCAACGATCTCCTTTGACAGGAAGCGAAGGATAAATGCATTCAAGACAAAAGTGATCAGACGAAACAACACCTACAGAAAAAGAGGAAAAATACATGAGAATAAATTATGTTGGGAATATATATTTGTGAAATGAAAATATGTGGCTGTTCTTCCTAATAATGTACTGACATACAGCAGCTTTGCCAGAGAGACCCTCTCAAAAATGCGCCACCTGAGTTTTTTCTGAAGTTGAGTTCCTTGCAGTCCCCTGGCACTCCTGTGCTATGGTCAAAGAACCCACAAAGGCACTTAGAAGTCTCTCTAATTTATGAATAAGAGGGAGACTCTAACATTCAGTAAATTTCTTCAGGTTCAAAGTTAGGCACTCCAGGAGACACAGAATTCTAGTTAGTGTTCCACATTGGCCCACTCTCCAGCCTGTTTAGAAATAGTACAAGTGGGAGCCTGCAGCATATGGCAAAATCTCTAGGCATCACATGGTCTAATTCCTCTTTCTTCTCTGCCTAGTAATATCTGGAGATTCTGATAATGACGTTTAATCTCTTTGAACTTGTCTTCTTAATTAGAAAAGAAAAAAAAAGGGCTGTATTTATTTACTGAATATTTGCCACTTTCCCGAGAGGAGTTGAAGTATCTTTTTCTTTTTTTTGAGTACAAGGGTGTCTTCCTGGCTCAGTCAGTAGAGCATGTGACTCTTGATCTTGGGGTTATGAGTTTGAGCTCCAAGTAATATAGAGATTACTTAAAAATAAAATCTTAAAAAAAATGACTACTGTTAACATATAATGAAGTACCTTTTAAATGATAACTGCAAATAATAAGATAATACAAAATGGGGAAAGGGAGACAGTCTAGCTAGCTATTGCCATTTGAAGGGGATATATCCCAGGATTTCAAACAATTCAAGAAAACTACCTGACCAAAGAATTTCTCCATGAGACAGAGAACAACAGGGGGCTAAGTGGGGATGCTAAATGGAGATGTTGATCAGATGCAAACCTCAGCCCCCCCCCCCATCCAGGAAGCATGGCAGGTGTAACTCAAGTGTGCTTCACAGCAAATGACAAATCACTCTCAGTTACCTGTGAACAGCTGCAGTTTGTTTTTTTTTTTTTTTTTTTTTTTTTTGAGAGAGAGAATATGTGTGCAGAGGGAGATGGACAGAGAGAATCTTAAAATCTTAACCATACCCAGCATGGACCCAGATACATGGCTTGATCTCATGACCCTGACATCATGACCTGAGCCAAAATCAAAAAGGTGGACTGAGCCACCCAGATGCCCCTGAACTGCTAAAATTTGAAAGATTCAATCAAAATATGCCAATGGGCCATGATGGTTTGAAAATCTCTGGGGAAAAGTATGATAAAAAAGGGAGAGTGCAGTTTCACACTGCCAGTGTCTATAACACATAAGTGTCACAGAGCAACAAGGTCTCCAAAGCCAAGATATCACAATCTTAAGCTTTATGGAATGAAAAGTAGCCATTGAGAATCTGATGAAAGCTCTGTAGCTCTCCTTGGAAACATGCAGATATGTACATACCATTTTTTTTACTCAATCTTAGATGTCTGAAGCCAATTCATGGAGCCCTGAATGGAAAAAGTGCTCAGTTGATAATCTCAAATCACCCATCATCTCCTAACTCTTATGAGCTTCAATTCCCTCCTGTCAAATGAGGCTACCTATCTCATAGGGTTGATAACAAGGATCAAACAAGATTATGGAGGTGAAAGTATTTTTGAAAAATACATACAAATGAAAGACATTAATACTTTCACTATGGCCAGCTCAGAATTAAGACAGAGAATAAGCACTCAAATTCTTGCAGAATAGAATGTAATTGCAAACCGACCTCAAGTGTTTGCAGCATACAAGATTAAACATATACCGATTAAAATACTCAGGAAACCTAAATTAAAGGTTTTTTTAAAACAATGTACACATATTTATGCTAACTTAAAAGCAAGTTCTCATTGTCTAAGAAAATGTCTCGGGCTATTTCCCTATCTCCTAATTGGCTTGAAGAAAGGGTTGAGTTAATGAAGCTCTGAGGTTGTTCATGCCTCAATGAAGGTTGAGGTTTGCTCCACAGTGGCCCTTATTAGCAACATAGTCTTCATTTAACTTTGTAAAGGACTTTACCATTTTTTTATATTAAAAATGAGGGATTTGGGATGCCTGGACGGCTCATTTGTTGAGCATCTACTTTCAGCTCAGGTTGTGATTCTGGGGTCCTGGGATCAAGTCCCGCCTCAGGCTCCCAGCAGGGAGCCTGCTTCTCCCTCAGCCTATGTCTCTGCCTCTCTCTCTGTCTCTCATGAATAAATAAATAAAGGTTTTTTTAAATAAAAGATTTATTACACGCGTTGTATATATATTGTGGGTTAAAAAAAAAAAAAACAGGGATCCCTGGGTGGCGCAGCGGTTTGGCGCCTGCCTTTGGCCCAGGGCGCGATCCTGGAGATCCGGGATCGAGTCCCACATTGGGCTCCCAGTGCATGGAGCCTGCTTTTCCCTCTGCCTGTGTCTCTGCCTCTCTCTCTCTCTCACTGTATGACTATCATAAATAAATAAAAAAAAATTAAAATATTTTAAAAAAAAATTTTTAGGGGCAGCCCAGGTGGCTCAGCAGTTTAGTGCCGCCTTCAGCCCAGGGCCTGATCCTGGAGACCTGGGATCAAGTCCCACGTCAGGCTCCCTGCATGGAGCCTGCTTCTCCCTCTGCCTGTGTTTCTGCCTCTCTCTCTGTCTCTCATTAATAAATAAATAAAATCTTTAAAAAAATTTTTTTTAGTTAGTTAACATACAGTGCAATATTGATCCCTGGAGTAGAATCCAGTAATTCCTCTCTTACACACAACACCCAGTTGTTGTCATCACAAGTGCCCTCTTTCATTACCCATTGCCCATCTAGCCCATCCTCCATCCACTTCCCTCAAGGACTTTACAGTTTAATAGAAAGCATTTTCACATCTGTAAATTATTTGACCCTTAAAAGCAACTGGGTAAATGCACAGGAAGCAAGTTAAGACTCAGAACAAAGTGACCGGCTCAGTGTCACACAACAATCATATGACACAGCTTGACTTCACAGGTAGGCCACTTGACTCCTGGTCCGTCGTATTTTCTGTTAAGGCGTGACTTGCTTTTTTTTTTTTTTTTTTTTTTTTTTTTTTATGAAGCCAATCTGGGTGGTAAGGTATCATCAAAGCCTAAACAATTAGTGTTGTGGATAAAACTCTAAACTCATTTATGCTGTGGAATAGAAGGAAAACAATTTGGTAAATTCAGGGTTCACCTACTTCACAGTTAGATGAATGTTTATCAAACACTTATCTTGTGCAAGGAGCTCTTCTACGTTTTATGTGATTGTTTCATTTCATCCCTATAATGGCCATTTAAAAAATCCTGATTACCATAATAAAAACACTTAGTGTTTACTAAGTACTTATAATGAGCCAGGCACTTACAGTCATGTCATCTAATCTTGCTAATGACCCTATGAGGTTGCTTTATTGTTCTCATTTAAGATGAGGAAAACTGATGCTCAAAGCAAAGCAATTTTTCACAAGGCCGGAGATCTGCCAAGTGACAAGGACTAAACTTGAGCTCAAAGGTAGCTGGTTCTCTCTCCTAATACGCAAGAGAAATGCTGCCTCTAAAATAAGGGAGAGGGGATCCCTGGGTGGCTCAGCAGTTTAGTGTCTGCCTTCGGCCCAGGACGTGATCCTGGAGTCCCAGAATTGAGTCCCACATTGGGCTCCCTGCGTGGAGCCTGTTCTCCCTCTGCCTGTGTCTCTGCCTCTCTCTCTGTCTTTCATGAATAAATAAATAAAATCTTTATTAAAAGAAAAATAAAGGGAATGGGTGGATTCCAGACTCTTCTGAGGAAAGGCTGCATGGCTCAAGAGTGCACCACTGAAAAATTGAGCCACTTAGAATGACCAGCTCTGAGGGTTAAAAGAATCTTTAGATACCATTTGGACCAACTGGCATGTATCTTATCTGATAATGAAAATTAGGGCCAAGAAGGGGAAGTGACTTATCCAAGGTCACATAGCCAGAAGGAAAATGTAGCCAACATTTACTAAGCGCATACTAAGAGTCAGGTACGGCAGTAAGTGCAATTACCTGGATGACTCCAGTCAAGCCTCACAGCAACTTTATGAGCTAGGTACTATCATTACCCCAATTTTCCCGATGAGGGGCTGAGGCTTAGAAGTTCTCTGTCCTGGGTCATGCAGCAGGCGCAGGGCAGAACCGGGACTCCTAAGCCCAAGCATCTTTTTCTTAGCTCTGCCATACGGTCTCTCTGAACTCAGCGGGATCAGAGCGTTTGAAGAAGGTGTTCTGAGGGTCAGCGATGTGATATGCAGAGAGTGAACCCTTTGCCTTAAAAACATTCGATGCCACCGAACCAAAGGGACCCCTGCCACCCGGCCTGCCTCCTACAACCACATGGGAGATAAAACGAACGCTCAGAACGAAGGTGCCTTGTTTGCAGTCTCCCAGCCGGGGCTCTAACTCCAGGCCCGGGCGCCCCTTCTCCGCCGCCACCTCCACCGCCTCCTGCCCAACCCTTCTGTGGTGGCGTCCACGCCTGGGACTGGGTGTTCCCCGGGGTGGGGGGTCGGGGGCGCGCTCTCAAGGGCCCCCGGGCCGCCTCCCCGCGCATCCCGGCTTCGGCTCGGGCTGGGGCCGGCCGGCCAGAGAGTACCTGCAGGAGCAGACCAGAGGAGGCCAGGCGGGCCGCCTGACCCAGCACCTCCTGGCTCCCCATAGCCCGGGCGCCGGGGCTCAGTCCCCCGGAAATGCCGCCACCAACCCGCCTGGTCGCTCGGAGATAGGCGTCACGGAGCGGCCCGCTCTCTGATTGGCGACTTGGGGGCGGCGGAGGCGGAGCACGGGAAGTTCCGGTCCCTTACGCGGCCGGCTTGAGTGACGTCAGTGGGCCTGCGCCTCGTGGTTCGGGTTGAGCCTGTGAGCGCTCAGTGCTTACCCCTGCCGGTCCCAAGTAAATGAAGAGAAGCTGTCAAAAGTAGCCGGACTTCCTTCCCCGAGGCCTCGGACTAGCGACCAAGGAACACTGACTTCTCCCGCCTTGTTCCTGAGGTCCTTGCCTTTGGGGCTTGCCGAGTTGCGCCACAGGCGCCCGGAATCAGGCACAGGTATTGTCAGCATCCTTACTGCTAGGACCAAGGAAGGCCTGGAAGTTAGGTGGTGTTGTGTACCCCTTCCCAAAGAGCTGAGCACTGGGCCCCGCCGTCGGACGACTAAGATGAGACGTGGAGATGTGACTTACTCAGATCTGCACCACCTGTGCCCGACTGAGCCGACCCCGGGCTTCAGATCCTTAAACTCGCCGCGCTTTGCCTACTCGCCGCCAGGGTTGAGGGCAGAGCAGAGGAACGGTCGGGAAGCGCCTTGTAAAACGGGAAGCACCCAACGCCCGGCACCAGCCACCGTGTAGTTGTTCTCTGCTTGCTGTGCAGTCGTAGGAATCCCCCTTGCCCAGTCTCTTTTAGGCCTTCCCGTGATTTGACGCCAGCCTACCTTCTGAACCACCTGTCACACCACCACTGCCCTTTCCCAGCACGCCCCAGGCCTAGCTGTTCGGAGCCCTTACCATTCCTCAAACAGGCCCTATCTCCTTGGCTCCTGTTCCTGTTGCCCTCTGCCCCAAAGTGCCTTCCCCGATGGCATCCCTCCACACCAACCACTTTCCCGAGTACCACAGTCAGCATCTGCTATGCACTGAATGTTAGCATCCTCCCCAAAGTCATATTGAAGCCCCCTAATCCCCAACGTGATGGTATTACAGGGGCAGGGATGGGGGTGGTGGGGGCTTTGAAAGGTAATTAGGTCACGAGCATGGTATCTTCATGAATGAGGTTAGTGCCCTTATAAGAAGAGACAAGAGAGAGGAATGCTCTCGCTCTCTCTCTCGGCCATACGAGGATGCACCAAGAAGGCGGCCATCTACAAACCAGCCAGCACTGTATCTTGGACTTTGTAGCTTCCAGAACTGCAATGAATGAATTCCTCTGGTTTAAGCCACCTAGTCCTTGGTAAATACTTACAGCAACCTAACCACCTGGAAAGCACTTTATGTTTATAGCTTCTAGCACAGTCTGCTTTGCAGTGAAGAGGCTAGAGTATGTGTCTCTGTCTAAACAGCTCATGGGCTCCAAGAAGGCAAGAGTGAAGCCCTCCAGGCTTTGCCTCCTGCAGCAGTGCTGGAGAAGGCTCCTGGGAGTTCCATAAATGCCACCTGCCCTGTTACGGCTGCTATTGCTCCTAGAAACAGACTACAGGGGATCCCTGGGTGGCGCAGCGGTTTGGCGCCTTCCTTTGGCCCAGGGCGCGATTCTGGAGACCCCGGATCGAATCCCACGTCGGGCTCCCGGTGCATGGAGCCTGCTTCTCCCTCTGCCTATGTCTCTGCCTCTTTCTCTCTCTCTCTGTGACTATCATAAAAAATAAATAAAAATTAAAAAAAAAAAAAAAGAAACAGACTACAGGGGTCAAGGCCTATGTCCTCTCCTTCCTCACTCCATCTTGCCAATAATCAAACTGTGTCTGATGGTAGAGGTTCAGAATGTGTTTGACTCTGAGACAGACCTGGCCTTGAATCCTCAGTCTGCCACTCACTAACCTGGGGGAACTCAGTATGCTCATATATTAAATAGAAGATTATCTATCTATCTATCTATCTATCTATCTATCTATCTATCTATCTATCTATCATCTATTCTGTGAGGGTAATCGTAAGGATGAAAGCAGACAAAAGGGATCCCTGGGTGGCGCAGCGGTTTGGCGCCTGCCTTTGGCCCAGGGCGCAATCCTGGAGACCCGGGATCGAATCCCACGTCGGGCTCCCGGGATGGGCATGGAGCCTGCTTCTCCCTCTGCCTGTGTCTCTGCCTCTCTCTCTCTCTCTCTGTGACTATCATAAATAAATAAAAATTAAAAAAAAAAGAAAGCAGACAAAAGTCTGGCCTTTCAGGAACCTGAAATCTAATGGAAGGAAGACTAACTGAAACAGTCCTAATAATAAAATTTACATAGTGATAAGTGCTATGAAAAAATGAAACTAGACAAAAAGAGGCTTTTAGAGGGTGAGGGGGCATGTTCTGGAAGGCAGAGTAAATCAGGCACCCACCTGGGAGAGGAATGTACCCAGAGAGGAGGGCAAAGTGCTAGAGGCTCTGCCTAATGTATTTGGCCTAATGGCTGAGATGCCCAAGGGCTTGACCTGGGCAGCTTGCCCATCGCCATGGACCTTGGGCTGGCAGGCAAGGTAGGCTTGCACTCCCTTTATTCCCAGCCAAGTAGCCTCCTCCTCATGACTCGTCCCTGAAGCAGAACCAACCAAGAGCTCTTCATGTCCACATACTCTTAACCCTGGGCATCCTGGTGGGCTGGTCTAGGAGGGACAAAGGAGATCGTTTTGCTGGGAGCAAAGAAGCCAAAAGGGAAATGTCCAAGCTAAGTCCAAAGAGCAAAGCCTCACGGGAGTCCAGGACACAAACTCTGAGGGGTTCCTGGGTACAGAGTTGGGGGCTTTTTTCTCTCATTCTGAAAGTTAGGACTTAGTAAGGAGAGATTGAACATGTACTTTGTGCTCAGAGCCATCCTGAGTGCTGGGGTGGGTAGGGGGAGGAACTGTGCTGGGGTTCAATGAGCACTGACCACGGACTCCATGTCAGGCTCTTGTGTGTGCATTGTACATGCATGTTTCAACTCCTTTATCCCCCTCAACAACTCTTGGGGGTGCATATTACAGATGAGGACAATGAAGCACGGAGAGATGTTAGTAACTCACCCAAGATCATTCAGCTAGGGAGCAGTCAAGCTGGTATTAGAACCCAGGTGCTTTCTGACCCTGAATGCTTGAAGATATTCCTGCCCTCAAAAGCTTCTTGTCCCAAAGGAGACCTAAGAGTCCCCATTTCTAAACCACAGAGAATATATGTGGCATTGAGGGGATGGACTCTGGGAGTGCTGCAGTGGTTGAGCAGCACTGAGCTTGGAGGCTTCCCTCCCCTCCGTGCTAAGCCTCCCCAAAGGCCTCTCCTCTCCTAAAAGCATTGGCACCACGAGGGTATGGCACGATCCACAGTTTGTTTGTAGACGGCTAAGCTCAGGGCTGGTGAACTGCTGCCTGCTGGCTGTTGCCTCTTTTGTACAGCCCACAAACTAAGAACAGTTTTTTACATTTTCAAATGGTTGGGGGAATAAGTCAAAATAATATATTTTTAAAGATTTTATTTATTTACTTGACAGAGCAAGCACACAAGCAGGGGGAGCAGCAGAGGGAGAGGGAGAAGCAGACTCCCCACTGAGCAGACACCCTGATGCAGGACTCAATGCCCAGGACCCTGGGATCATGATCTGAGCCAAAGTCAGACACTTAACCAACTAAGCCACCCAGATGTCCCAAAAGAAGAATATTTTCTGACACATGAGAAGTATATGCAATTCAAATTCCAGTGTCCACAAATAAAATGTCATCAGAGCACAACCACATGCACTCACTTGTCTACTGTCTGTGGCTACTGTCGTGCTATAAGAGCCAAATAGTGTGCCCCTAAAAGCTGAGAATATATACCATCTGGCCTTTTACAGAAAAAGTTTGCCAGTCCTGGTGATCAAGCCCCAGTGCCTGACACTCAGTAGACATTTGGATATTGAATGAGTGAATGCATGGATAAATGAATGATGAAGCATTAGGAAAAGAAGGAAGATGAGAAGGGTTCTTCCCCAGGGATCACCTGGTTTGAGGAACCAGTGATCCCTGGAGGACACCAGACTATAATTGGCAGGCACTGAAGGAGCTCTTTCCCCAGCCCCCTCCATCCTGCCCTCTGTGCCAGGTGGCCTCCCTGCCAAGGAAAGCTGACCCAAGCAGCCTATTTTATTACAAAGCGAGAGGGAGTGCCAGGGCTGACGCCAAGCCAGCTAGGCTCCCCGGGCAGCAGGGCAGGGAGAGGGGCTGCCAGCGGGCAGTGGAAGCTATGGCTAGTGGTGCCTTGGGCCTCAGCTGAGTGGAGGAGGCCGAGCTAGGCACCGTCCCAGGTACCAGCCAGTAGGTGGCGGGCATCTTGGGTGAGGGCCCTGCCCTGTCAGGGCTTCCTGCTGCCCAGAGGACCGCCCCCATGGGCCCTCCCTCAAGGGAAGCTCAGGGCTCTGCCTCTCACTCAGAAGTCTCTGGGCATGAGAACACCGCTGAGCCCATGTAGCCACTGTGCCAGACATTTCACTTTCATGATCCCATTTTACTCCCACAGGAGCTGCACAAGGTAGGCATCATTATTGTCCCCATTTTACAGATCAGGAAACTGAGGCTCAGCGAGGTTAAGGAACTTGCCCAAAGACTAATAAATGGTGGTGCTGGAATTTGCTCCCCGCACCACAGTGTGGCTCTAAGACCCCAAAACAGAATTATACCAGAGTATTTACTGTTCATACTGATTCCTGGGCTCCACTTCAGCAGTTCTGATTCAAGAGGCTGGGATGGACCTGGGAATATGTACTAACGAGCACCCTGGGTGGCTCAGACTAGTGGACTGGGCTCTGAGAAGCACTGCCTGAGGGCACATCTTCAGGCACCCTGCAAAAGCTGCCTCCTTTGATGAGCTGAGAGTCTGTCTGCTTAAAGCTGGCAGAGCAAGTCCTGAGATCTGTCCCCAGATTTGTCCAGGCTGCAAGGGGTCTTGCTGTCAGGACTAGGCTGCAGGTCAGTGGTCATGGCAGCAGGGGTCGGAGAAGGCAGTGGCTGGGTAAGGGCCTTGGGGAAATTCCGTGCCAGGAAGTATACATA